AAGCCTACCACCCAGTCTTATATATTTGCATTACTTTTCTTCTACAGTCCTCAATATGCATCAAAACTTGATAATATTATATTCATCAGATCCTAGACTTTCTGTAGCTTCAAACTTACTTAACATTCCTGGCTTATTTGCAACCTCTAAGCCATACACTTTCTGAATAAAAATAATTTTTTGACTGGATAATAGTGAATGCAATACTATCTCTGACTTCATCCCAGATAGGATTTCACATGAAACATGGAAAGGAAAATATTGATAAACATCGTTAGAGAGCTGTGAAGACATTTTAATGTTGGCTCAGGACTGCATTTCCTTTGCTACAGAAACGACATTATTGGATATGTGGTTTACAGAAATCCATTTGCTAACATGGCTCCTCAGAGAAGAGCAGTGGGGATGTGAAAATGTTTGGTATTTGAGTATAAGGCTCATCCAAATCTCTTTCCAAAGGATAAGTAAATAATATTAAACATTATTCTTAATTACATACTCAATAATTGCAAATCTAGTGTTTGAATACTCATGTGTTCACAATTGTCCTGTTATTTGATTCAGAGTAGCAGAGAGAAAGTGTCATTCCATCTTTGCCATTTCCTTTGAACCTAACACAAGTCATAGAATGACGAGAAGCTCAGGTAAAAATGTCAAACTAGGTGTATTACATACAGCATTGTACCTAAAGCACAGGCAGGCAAACTGAGAAGATATCTCAGAAGAACATTCCTTCAATAACCGAAGAGCTTCTAAGATTAACCACAGAGGAAGTATTAGGGAGCTATTCAACACTGATTTTATTCCCCCACAGCTTGTCTATTTCCAAATCCCACATGGTGCCTGTTTTCTAGTTCTCTCTTTCATAAACTTCTCTTATAATTGACAAAACTTGTTAGTTTAAGGTCTACATTTGAGTTTGGTCTAGCATCTATTCCATATATCTATATCTATATATCGATAGATACATATATTCCATCTCTCTCTCTCTCTCTCTCTCTCTCTCTCTCTATATATATATATATATATATATATATATATAATCCAATCTGGTATGTATACATATATATCTATTCCATAAATATATAGAATAGATGCTAGACCAAACTCAAATGTAGACCTTAAACTAACATAACTCATATATCTATCTATCTACCTATCTATGTATCTATATATATCTATATATATATATGAAACTAACATAACTCATATATATATATCCATATATATGGTATGTTATACATATATATATCCATATATGAGTTATGTTATGCATATATATATCCATATATATATGAGTTTCTTCATTAGAAAAAATATCAATTCTCTCAACTGATAGAAAACTAACAGAAAAATGTAAGCTAAATTTTGTTGATACAAACACATTCAACCTTAACATATTATTTGTTGAGTAATTAGCAGATAATAATTATACCTTTACATCTTATAGGTAGGTCTAATTTTTGAGAGACATTGTAATGGCTGTATTTTATGTAGATTTAAGATACCATGTGATATCAGATAGTTATTGCTGAGAAGTGACAAAAAAAAGTGAATTTATGAAATTTCCATAAGTTATTAATGCAGAATTTTATTTTTAATGCTTTATTATTCTTCTAGCATTTGTGTATGGCAAATGTCAAACTGCCAAAAATATAGAGGATTTGGGTAGAGGTGGATTCTGTCATCACGTGACCCACTAGTCTAAGAGTATATAGACTCAATATTCTATGGCATATAATAAATGTTCTAAGCCACTTTCAAATACTGTTTGACCACATAATTAAGTTAAAGCAATAACTACATGGAGCAAAGAAAGCAAGCTTATTATTTTAGAGAATATGTCTGATAACACATTTAAAAAAGAGACAAATTCTTTTCAAGGAGGTAGAATTTGATTTAAATAGGGATAATATAGTGGAGGAAGGCTTTCCTTTAAAAAATATAATTTAAGAGTCACGTCGTTTCTAATTTCTCTTCTCCTTCCCCATTCTCTTTTCTTCCTTTATTTTCCCCTTTCTTCTCTCCTTCCCTTTCCTCTCCTCTCCTCTCCTGTGACTTTCTTATTTATTTATTTATTTATTTATTTTGAGACAAAGTTTTGCTCTTGTTGCCCAGGCTGGAGTGCAGTGGCACCATCTCAGCTCACTGCAACCTCCACCTCCTGGGCTCAAATGATTCTCCTGCCTTAGCCTTCCAAGTAGCTGGTATTACCTGCCACCATGCCAAGGTAATTTTTTGTATTTTTAGTAGAGACAGCTTTAACCATGTTGGCCAGACTGGTCTCAAACTCCTGACCCCAGGTGATCCACCCACCACAGCCTCCCAACGTGCTGGGATTAAAGGAGTGCGCCACCACCCCCGGCCTCCTGTGAGCTCTTCCTGTATCAGGTGACTACTATACAAATGCATTCCATTAAATATATTGATATACTTGCTGCTCAGTTTTCAGCTACTACTTCCTGGTGTTTTCCTCCATCTGAAACTAAGAATAATAACCCTTCACTATGACTTTTTTAGAAATGAAAAACTTATAAACAGTTGACAACTGTTGCATAAATACTACAGTAATTTAAGGCTTGTCTGCTTTCTGGGTCTCATGATTCAAGGAATCTCTTATTATTATAGTTAGTGTAAAAGTAAGTACTACAGAAATAGTGTTCTTTAATAGCACAGTGTGACATGAAGCAAAAAAGTATTATATACAAGACATAGTCATGTATCTCTTTTAAATTTGATTATGATAAGTAATTGGGAACTAAATTAGCACTAGAACAGGTATTTAAATTTCTTGACTGATATAGAGAATGTCTTACGTGACCCTCAAAGCACTGTGACAGATGATCGATTGGTAGAAAGTGAGTTAACTGCTGCCTAGTGGGCATCAACCTTCAGCTGAGTATTTAAAGTGTAGTATGGGCTGTTGCAGGAACCAGCTGCTACCTTCAAATTGATGTCTGAAGCCTGAAGTGTATTCGTTCAGCTATTAGATGGCAAAGAAACACTTCAGTTTTTTTTTTAATATAAAACAATAAAAACTTCTCATGATTACTGCTTCATTCCACTTTACACAAAAGTTTAAAAAAATCTTGGGAAATCAGCTACAGTTGAACAGAAAGGATAAAAAAAAAACCTTTGAAATAGTAGCAGTCATTGCCAAAAAGTATCACACAAAATGTACAGAAACGACTTACCAAAATGATATAAGCCAGGAAAAGTGTGTTAATTTCAGTTTGTAGAAACAGGGACAAGTTTAGATCTATACATTTTTTATGAAGCAATTTTGTTTCACCTGATTTGTATGTAAGTCATGAAAACTGAACTGCGTTTCTCTCCTATAAAGCTTGAGGCAAATTTGCCTTAAAGCCTAGAAGAACAGAGTGCTAGAATGTTCTTTTAGAGCCCTCTCTGGAAAGTTGTTTCTGTATGTTAGAGAACAATCATCTTGCTTCTGTCATTCTCAGTAGCTAAATGACAAGGTTTTTTTTGTTTGTTTTGTTTTCTAACAGTGATATTGAAGAATTCAAGTCACCACTAAACTTCGCAACGTCATTTCTGCCAAACATATCTGACTTGACCAAGATTTGTCATTACGAGTTAAGGGTTAGGCCATTAAACTCCACATAATCTGCTCATCTTCTGAATTCCAATCACTGAGACATTAATTATATATGAAACTACACGTTTATATTTGCAGTTAACTCGGAGCTTGGCTTATATAGTTTTGCTTTCTCATCCTTTGCCACAATATCAACAACAACAACATTTCTGTACACTTGGTATAATTTCTGTCTCTAGGGAGATAAAGGGTAACATGACACCCAACAAAGTGAATATTTATAATCTTTTAATTTGTGTAATTTTGGTTTCTACTCTATCAGTGGTATTCTTGGCCACAAAGTATCTAACCACATCAATAAATTATGTAGTAATGAAGCTAAATGACATCAAAGCATATGTATATGTTTTAATAAAGTACAAAAGAGTAACTCAAAGGCAAAGGAAAAATATCAGTGTATAATGGTCTTAAGATTTGTTGGTATAATTATGCTAACAAGGACAAGAAACGTGCATTGTTAGGGTTTTTGTTTGTGTTGGATTTCCCAGTCTTTTCAAGTGTTCCCATTGAATTGCAGGCTGGGTCAGATCTCCTGAATATGGTGATGTCATTGCAATAATTTTTAGTATCATTATTAGTTGTAATAAAAATCACAAGGGTTATGATTTTAAAACTCCAAGAATCAATATTCAAATTCCATTTTGCTAAGACACATATGAAATGTAAAGTAAGATTGCATCCTTTGGGCACAATGAAGGAAGGCAGCTGAATATTTCACTAAATGACAGGCAAGAAACAAATTGTAATTAAAATCATGTCATGGATAATCTGCAAAGTGTTTTAGTAAATTTGAAATTGCATTTTTAAATGCTCAATTGTATGTTTTGTTTCTCTCAATAAAATATGACTTTGGTCAGACTGGCATCTTTAGGAAGGAATGCATATTAAGTTTTATTCTAAAAATGTTTTTCAGGTTGCTACTTTCTGATTTCTTCAAATCATTTTTCTATAATGAAAGGATACTTTAATTAAGCCTCTATTAACTCCATGAAATTACTCTTTCTGTCAAGAACACTTAATTTTTAATTCACTTTTCTGGCCAATTCCAAGTGGCAAAGTGTCTGATGTCTAGCCTTGTTTATTCTTGATTGACATATTTCGGATCTGAAGCTCCAATTATTACGTAAGTAAAAATTTTCTCAGAATAGGTGGCAGCACTGTGTGAATTGGGTGCTCAGAATCCAGATCCTTCTTCCACTTCCTTTGTGTCATTTTCACAGCGTCAGGTATTGTAAATGTGGTCCCTGAATTTAAGAAGTCACTTATATTTTTTTTCCACAATATATTTAAGAAATATTCATTTTGTATTTTGTGCCTATCAACTATGAGCTCAGTCCTACTGCTGTATGTGGTGGCAGAAAACATCACCTGAAATACCTACCAGCAGGAATCCTGGGGGGCAAAGATCCTCCCCCTGGCACTGGATGCGGGGCCTGGATGCTATTTAAAAACCCTGCCCTCAGGAAGCTGGGGCAAAGCGCCTCTACCCCAATGGCCGGGAAGGATCCTTTTAAGAGATAAAAATTGACATTAATCAAAGTCTTCTTTATGGAAAACTGTTGATCATTTACATGGAATAAAACCTAAAATCAACAAAGACAACACATTTTACAAAGAAGTTATAAAATTAAAGGGATGGAATGCAGTTTTACTCACACATTTATAAAATCAACCTAGCTTCCTGAAAAGAAATCTAGTCAACTAGTTACAATTAAAGAGGGTTAGAAGCATCAGAGTGCTAGATAAAATTTCTAAACCTATATTTAGAACAGAAAGCTATGCTACTGAATAATAAAATGAATATTAATGCTAGTCACTGATGTTATTTGCAGAATTCATGCACACGTCAGTTACAGGCACACAGAAAATAGCCACGATAAGATCTGATACATGTTGCATCCACAGGAGCAGTGCTTTTACTTTAGGGCTCTCTCTATAAGTGCTTAAAATAAGGAAAACTTTTACATCATGCAGCAATTACATATTTTTGCAACAGGGACAGGAAAATTGATGCACACAATTATTAATTTGTTATGCTTTTCTATTAGGGACAAGACACGAGAGTTTGCAAAGGTAAAACCATATGCTTTTTCATTTTGAAGAAGAATATTGTAAAGCAAAGAAAAAGTAAGCGGCTTGGAAATTTATCCATAAAATCATATAATGAATCATAGAATAAAAGAATGTCAGAACTGAAAACAGTCTAGAGATCATCTAGTTAAAAATGTTCATTTTAGACCAACAAACGGAGGCCTATAAACAGGAGAGGCAGTGCCACGTGGTTGGTAACTACCAGGACAGACTTTTCCCGCCCTAGAATAAAAATAAATCATGAATACATTCCTATTTGAGAGATTACTATCCTCTGAATATGAGTTAGAAACTCTGCACTTTGGAATAGTAACATTATAATTTGGCGTCTTAACTTCAAGATACTAAAAATCACTCACGAGAAAATTTAATACACTTGCAGTATCGGTGAACGGGCATCACTGGTAACTGATACGGCCAATCAAAGGAAAAAATCGCACTAAACTCCTCCCCCCCCCCAAAAAAAAAACCAAACGATTGACACCGATGGTAGTACGGAATGTATTTTGTTCAGCCACTCTGAAACGCCTCAGGCTACGTAGCTTCACGTTGGTCCCTGGGGTTTTCCTTTAATGCTCAGATTTAGCAAGTTCTGTGTTTGTGAAGAGACTTCACTTGGTATTTTGACACAAATTCTCCACCAAAAATAAGTTAAAATTTGAGGCTTCTTTGAACTTGGGTCAGAATTAAAGGAACTTGGTACACCATATGTATCTTACATCCATGGAGAAAGTTATTGGTAAAGAAAAGCACTCCAGCCTGGCGCCTGGTGACAGAGTGAGACTCTGTCTCAAAAAAAAAAAAAAAAAACAAAACAAAAGAACAACAACAACAACAACAAAAAAAAAACAAAGAAAAGCTCCCATCTCTTAGATCTTCAGAAATGTTTTCATGAAAGAGCAAAGCTACAATGTGTATTTTAACCGGGGAGGCCCATATGTGTGCACTGGATTAAAGAAAGCTTAGAAGAAAATTAAATACAGTGAATAAATTAGTTTTGTTTTTGATTTTATGGAGCTTTAGTGAAAGGGTCCTATGAGGAAGAGCAGAGCTGGAGTCTCTTAAAATTAAGAGACAAGGCAAGAATGCCAAGTGGTAAGTCAGAAAGTGCTCTGAGGTCACTTTCAAGGAGTAGTGAAACTAACTAACTTCCTTGTGAATGCACGGGATGTTTATCATTGAACACAAAGTTAATGTATCTCTGCGCAATGTTTCCCACACAAGGCATTTTCCACATTGGAAATGTTTCATCATTGTCTGAGATAACGCTCCTAATGAAGGTGCTTCATTGAATACCAAGTGGAGTGATCATATATTTATACAGCAGTCTTGTTTAACGTTGCAAGAGTAATGGTATTGTTACAACAGGAAAACAATGACAACAAATGCAGATTTTATTATATGCTGTGAAAAGCTAAAATAATGCAATTTTAACTGATTATGGATTTATGGAAGTCAAGTAATAGGAAACTCAGTTCAAGAATATTAGATCATAAAGAAAAATAATAACATAGAAAAGAACAGCAAAGAAAAAATGATATAGATGAAATTAAAGAAAATTTGAAGCAAAATAAAAATATGTAGAGTAGTGGCTCTAGATAACTTTAATATGTTACACATTGAGATTCTTATCTTTTTCCTGTTTTTGCCAACATCATCCAAACTGTTTTCTTAGACAAGATGCCCATTATTTTAACTTTTTGAAGGAAACTAATACAAAAATTATTTTATTGTTGTGATTGTATTGATTACTGTTTTTGTTGTTGTGACGGCCTGTCATATTTAATAGCAGCTTTCATCTGCCTAAGCTTCCTACATCACTCATAATGGCTTTGCTATGTTTCTTTATCATGGGTAAAAAGGTCTTTCATTTATTGTGGCATCTCTTCCTTAAGAAACTGTCATTTTTCACAGCTGAAAAAAACAAACAAAATAGAAAAACTGGGGTACCTGAATATATATTCAGGTGAGATATTATGTGATAGTAATGCCTTATCATTTTTCTTTTTGAGGTCAGTTATATCGACAGAGATTGCATGAAACACTAAAGTTGTAAGTTTTCACAATTTATACCGGAGAAATAGCAATTCTTTAATTCCCTTGTTTCTTAATCCACCAGGTGTTAAGTTTTGGGATTTGATATAAATTAGTTTTAGTCTTGTTTTCCCAATTGCCCAAGTTGCTAACTCTCTCTGCCTGTTTTCTTTTAACTAATTGTAGAATTTATTAATCAATTATATTGTAGCTAAAAAGTAAATGAAATCTAAAATGTGTGGCAGGAGCAATGTCCATTTCCACGAATATTTTGTTTTTAGTTACATTCTGTGGAGTATTTCTTAATATAAATTAGATTTTATATGTAATGAGAGTATTTCTCTAGCCTTTGCAAGTTCAAGATACAAAATGTGTCACTTCACATATACTTTTCTAAAACTCTGATCTTGATTCTCTCCTTACTGCAGTGGTTCTCAGCTTTGGTGGTAACTTCCCTAGCAGTGAGACTTGCAAATTTGGACTGAGGAAAGTCATTCCTAGTATTCAGTGAGTGGAAGGCTGAAGTTGAAATAAGTGGTATACCCCCTGCAAATAAGAGAATTCTCCAAAGGCCAGTAGTACCCACTGAGAAATACTGTACAAGAGTCAAAAAAAGTTTTTTTTTAAAGGTGCTAGTTGATAGGTTATGTAATGAGACTGTGGGAAGAAAGCAGCTGACATGGCCTGCATGCTTCCATCTGGCTTGATCAACTGAGGAGGCATTCTGACTACGCAGGTGATCTGGAGGTAAACTGGCCTACAGCATAACCGTTTCCAAATCATCCTAAAAATACATATGTAACACTTAATGAGGAGTGTCCAATATTTTGGCTTCCCTGGGGCACATTAGAAGAAGAAGTGTCTTTCTCTGCACATAAAATACATTAACATGAATGACAGCCAAGCTAAAAAAAAATGCCAAAAAAAATCTCATAATATTTTAAGAAACCGTAGGAATTTGTGTTGGGCCACATTCAAAGCCGTCCTGGGCCACATGAGGCTCCCAGGTCGCAGGTTGGACAAGCTTGACTTAAACTCTGTGAAACAAAATATCGTTTCTCAGTTGATATTGTAGCAATATCCTTTAAATAACTCTATATTGTAAATTAAGTATCATTAAAAATTTGTGTATGTAACAAACCTGCACGTGTATCCCTTAATCTAAAATAGAAGTTGAAATTATAAACAAGAAATGAAATTTTCACGTGTGCGCTCTGAAGGCAAGTTGTGAAAAAACATTTGTGAAAAGATAAACTAACAATGAGCTTAAACTGTTTGTGCCTCAGTTTCACCATCTGTAAACTGAAAATTGTAACTGAATCTACCTCATGTGCTGTTCATGAAAATTAAATGAAGCAAATGATTATAAATATAAGCCATCGTTATTATTTAGCAGTCTTAGTATTTCTTTAAAAAGAAACCTTTAAGCATAAAACTGAGATAAATTGATACAATTTCCTAATGCAGACTCCCCCACATACATATACAAACCTTTCATAGAAAACATTCCCTTCTTGGAAGATTACATATTAATAATTTACTTTTTATGCCAAAAAGTTTAATAGTAAGGACAACATCTCTGTAATATAAATGTTTGAGATATGACTCTTCAAATTGTTTTCATTAGGTTGCATTTTTGCAAATACCCATTATTATCTATGAGTAGACAATAGATACACTGACTTAATAAAAGACAAAAAATTTAGAATTGAAAATTTGAAATACATGCACATATGTATGTGTTTGAGGTGGTGCAGAAAGATTATTTTACTTGTTACTATGTTTTGTCCTTTTCTGTTATACCTTGTTCAGTAATGAGTTTACTTTATACTAGTGTTTTTCAAAATTGGACAGGGGGTATTCCAACAGAGTGCATGAAAGATGGCCAGCAGAAGGAAAATACTGAAAATTCCATTTATATTTATGCTTTTCCTTAACCTTTAGTAATTGCTATGCTTATGTATTAATTTATAAATATATAATCATACTAGTTGATATAAACAATAAATAAAATATACTAACAATATCCCCTGTAAAACTTGCTTATTTTTATTGTTAGATGTGTATGATCAGAGAATTTTGGCAATCACTTATTTAAGTAACAAAACTGTGAGAAAAATGCCGAAGTAAGGATGAAGTAGATGATTTACTTCAAGGGCTTGAATAATCAGGGAAAAGCTTTGATTTTACTTGGCCCCACACAAGGATCTTAGAAGACCATGTTGCTTCTTACACAGTGGTGTTCCACCTTGGATATTCATTAGAAAATACATAATAAAGGCCCAAGTAAACAAGCAGAATATGGAAAATCCATTTCTTCAACTCCTAAAATGAGTTATACGTCAACTACATTATGAAAATAAGGATGGTATATAAAAAGAG